GGTATGAACTGGTCTGTGAGTGAGAGTCCTGCTCTGACCTCGGGCCTTCCTCCTGTAGTAGATGAATCCAGCCAGAGATAAGATCAGACCCAGGATCAGTCCTGAGGCTCCGATGGCGAGCTTGTTCCTCTCTGACTCAGGCATGGACGGGTCTGAGGACACACAGGTGAGAGTCACACAGGGGAAAAGACAGACAGACAGGTATGTAAAGGTGTGTAGATACAGACAGGTATTTACCCCAGTCAGTTTTCAGAGGTTCCTTCAGGCTGGCATGCTCCACCACACAGGAGATCTTCTCTCCAGACCTTCAACACAAACATCACTGACTCAGATCTGGACTTTAAACTGTCAAACTTTAGTGCTGACCCCATAGTAAGGGTTATTAATTAATAAAGTTCTTCTGGTTTCCATTATTAGAAATGACGCTCCTGGACCTGATGTGGACTCACCTGGGTGTGTACTCCAGGTGTGAGTGGGTCTGGTAGTACCAATCACCATCTGCCATCTCCTCAGTGGAAGTGACATCAGAGGTGACTTCCTGTCCGTCTCTCACCCAGCTCACTTTGATCTCACTGGGGTAGAAGTCATAGACGCTGCAGACCAACATGGCAGGATGGTGACTGGAAGCAGGTGTTGTGGAGTGAAGCTTGACAGTGGGCGGAGCTGGAAGACATTATGAGCTTGTATTATTAATATTGTAAATATAATCCCTGATAATTCATGTGCATGAATAAAGATACTGTTAATAGTAACAGTTAGCCAGACTGAGCTGATATCTGATATTTGAATTATCTGGGCTCTCCATGATTTTGTCTCATCACTGTGCATATCTGTTTGTATGTGAGCACCTGCACAATACTGCCTCCAGTTGGTTTACCATGACTACTTTACTCTTCCTCAACCAATAAGCAAACTTCAAGACCAAAGCTGATCTCAGACTGGATTCCTGCTCCTGATTGTTTGGTAGGATTAAGTCAAAGTTATACATTATTGCTAGATACACATTTTTTATTTAAAGTGTGTTTGTTTTTTTACAACTATTAACAAAATAGGAGTAAAAAACACTAAAATGACTCATGTCTTAGTTTTGTGTATGTAGAACAGAGTACCCAGGAAGAGTCAGAGACACACAAACACTTGTGTAGTGCAGCAGAGTGTGACGCAGTCATTCACACAGCAGCTGTTTCCTCTGGGTTCAGTTAGAATAGAATAGAATAGAATAGAATTCAACTTTATTGTCATTGCACATGCACAGGTACAGGGCAACGAAATGCAGTTTGCATCCATCCAGAAGTGATTTAGTGATATAGATATATTACAATATATATTAGCAATAATATAGATATGTGAGTATATTACAGAAATGGGTCTATTATGGTATGTTATAATGTACACGGTATGAAGTATGTTAAGAATATTCTATAACTATAAGTATGTACAGGCTGTAGTGAGTACAAGCTATGTACAGGCTATGAACAGGATATAAATATGAAATAAAAACTATACAGAAATCTGAGATATACAGCTATACAGAAATGTGAACTATGCAAGTTATAAACAGTTGTAGGATAAAAAATTATCGTATGTACCGAATGAGTTCAATTCAGTTTTATTTCTACAGCGCCAAATCACAACAGCAGTCGCCTCAAAGTGCTTTATAATGTAAGGTAGACCCTACAATAATACATATTAAAGTGATAACTTTATAATTGTGTCTGTTTCATAATGTTTATTTATTATATTATACTCTACTATTACAGTGAGCCTGCACAAATCACTGCGATCAGTATTTCTAACATTGTGTTAGACGAAAAAAGGAAAAACGTTATTAATAAGATGTCAGGCTGCTTCATGCTGATAGAATATATATGTAGAAATATAAAAAAATAAATGTGAGTGATAGTTCATCTCAAAGAGGTTAAATAAATAATTTAATATCATCATTAGTGTGTTACAATGAACAGCTGCAGTCTCCCTGTTTCACTAGCAGGGAGAACCACAGACTGAGGTTAGATCAGTTCTCTGTCGTTTTATGTTCTGTGATCAATGATTTATTACAGTTATTGATCACCAGAGTCTGACCTGCAGCTGTGAGTCCATCATGAATGATTCAGAGGGAGGTCAACATGAACACCCGATGATGTCACACAGACCAGCACACTCACCTGATTTAGACAGAATGTTGCTGTTCCAGACACCAATGTTGTGTAGGCAGTATCGCTCCTTCTCAGCTCTCATTGTATTCAGGAATGCACCACTGTTCCAGTACTCTGCGTTATACACTCCATACTTAGTGTAACCAACAAACTTCCCCAAACTGCTGCTGAACCTGTTGACCTCGATCTTGTTGTAATACCAAGACGTGATGAGCTCGATGTCCTTCGGATCAGTGGAGTTAAACTGACAGCGCTCCACCATATAATACATGAATCCATCTGAGAACAAAAAGAACAGACCAGAGCAGATCATTATTTTGATCAGTGTATTGACCATACCTAAAGTCATGTATAAGTAGTGTATTGATCAGTGATCAGTGTATTGATGATCAGTGATGAGTGAATTGATCAGTTTACTGATCAGTGCATTAATGAGTGTATATTGATGGTACCTGCTGTGCTGAGGCTGATGAAGAGGAGGCTGAGGCAGAGGAAGGATGAAGCCATGTTCCTGAGTTCTCCTGACAAACTGACTCAGTCTGACTGAGAGCTGCTCTAAAAACAGAGGACAGGTCACATGACCACAGCGTCATCTGTTACCAGGAAGAACTCTCTCAGAGAGTTGACGAGCTGGTCTGCATTTATTCATTCAATTTTGATCACACAAAGTGAAAGAAGCTTAGCAGTTTTATTTTACAGACTGCTGCTCTCTTCTTCATTGCCCTGTTTAATAATCAGGCTGCTGTTAGAATAATCGCTCTCTTTCAGTACTTTTGATCTGTTGAACTTACTGCATCACAGTGTTTATACTAACATTTCCCGTATCTCTTCCAAACTAACGGGACTGAAACACTTTTATTGTGAAACATTTCCATGGAGCTCTGTGAGTTTGCAGGATTCATGTCTGGCTGATGTTCCTCAGTGTGGACCACACAGATTTCATGGATATGATGGAGAATGCCCTTTTTTGTATCAATGTAAAGATGTATTTTTATCTTTCAATCTTCAGAGCAGCTGCATCAAATTTTACTGCATCACATTAAGATTAAAATATTTTTAAATGTACTTTAAAAGATTGTAATTAAAAATTTCGATTTAAATATTTAAGGAGATGAATTCAGATTCATTCCTACTCAGCAGATGTAAGTAGGCTCATTAAGAATCATAATACAATTAAATATTGGGTCATTTAGATGTTAGATATTAAAATATTCATATTAAAATATTAGCTTCATTTATATGTTTAAACTATCATTATTTTTTTGAATTCTTTTTTAGCAGAAAAACACTTCATCTTTATATTGCATTATGGTAAATGAATGAATCACATAAGAAAATGACTCACAGGGATTCCTTCCTTAGCGTTAAACTGCTATCTCTTATTTTTGGCCAATGAAGTCATGATGAACAGAAAACAGCCACTAAAAACACAAAACCACTCAGACACACAATAAATTCAGCTGTGCACCGACTCACCTCTCAGATCCAAACCACCTCTTATTACTGAGATGTCTTTACTGATACATCAAAATCTGAAACAGTTTGATAAACAATGACTGATTAAGATTAAACTCAATCTGAATTAAATTAAAACTAATTTCAGTCTTATTATTTGATTTGACTTTTATCTCCTTTGTTTTTGTGGTAGTAAGAGAGTCCTGGTAAAATCTGCCAAATCCAACATGTGGAGGTACTCCATGTGGTGAAAGAGCAGCTGAAAGTAGCTTTGGTTTGAATTCCAGATTTAAACTTTATTGACAAAGATGATGACAGACAGAACAGCTCATACAGGTGATTAAATAAAAGCACATCAGGTGAAGCAGATGAGACAGGTAAACAGAAAGCAGTTTATTACAGGTGAACTCTCTGCATACACAAACAATAACAACAACTGGACAGTCACACTGATTATGAGCTCATCACAGAACTATGATGACATCATCACTGTGAGCCAATCAGCTGCACTCGTTTCCTTTGATGAGGAAGAAAGTTCCAGCAGCCACACCGAGCAGACCCACAGTCAGACCCACTCCACAGAACGCCGCAGGTCCAACACCTGGATCAGACTGACCAGACGCCTCCACATCTGGAGACAGAAACACAAAGAGAGACTTAACCTCCACATCTGGAGACAGAAACACACAGAGACATTGAAATAAAGTTTTCTCACCATAGATTTTGGTCAGTGGTTGTGTCAGGGCCAGATGTTGCACTGCACAGCTGTAGATGTCTCCCAGCTGTGGGGTGAACTGCAGTCTGGAGATCTGGGTGAAGGTCCCATCTTTGTTGGGATAGGGAACGTTGATGCTGGATCCTGTGACCTTCTGTCCGTTCTTGGTCCAGGAGACGTTGACAGGAGCAGGATAGAAACCAGTCACGTGACAGATCAGAGTGTTATTCTCTCCAAACTCCACCTCATCTCTGGTGTAGATCATCACAGCTGAAGGAGCATCTGTGCACAAACACATCAGGAAAAGGATCAGAGCTTCAGCTGGTTTTCATCAACAGATGATTTTATTTATTAATAAATATCAATAAAAAGTTCAGGTGTTCACTCAGATGATGTCATCGCTCTCTGTGTGAGAGAAACTAGAGTGAGGTCAGAATCATGAAGTTAAAATAGAGACAAACAAGCACAGACAGTGTTTGAGCATCTGTGCACAAACACATCAGGAAGAGGACGATCAATTTAATAATCAGTGAGCAGGATGTTTCTTTAGCTTTAAGAGCTGCAGATAGACAGCAGGTTATATTAATTAACTAGGCTGTCACATGTTCAGGTATTCACTCAGATGATGTCATCATTGTCTGTGTCATGAAGCTAGTTTGAAGTCAAACCTTTACATTCATGAAGCTAAACTACAGCAAACGAACAGAGACAGAACTCAGTTCAGCTTCAGGGAAACTGAAGCTGTTAGTCTGTTTGAAGCTCGCTGTGTTTGACTTAACTGACAGATCTGGGTGATCACATATTCTGTGTCATTATTCAATTAAATTGTATTTACATGGCACCAAATCACAACAACAGTTGCCTGGAAGTGCTTTATATTGTAAGGTAGACCCTACAATATTACAGAAAATACATTTTCTATTCAAAGCTGATGAGCTCGTCAGATGTATCTCATTTTCCTACAGCCTATACCATCACACAGAAGTAACACAATACAACCATTACATGTTGGCTGTATTTACCATGCTCAGGAGGATAGTCCTTCATGCCTTTACCAAAATTCTTCAGGTTCTCTCTGCAGACCTGTTGATCAGCCACAGCTTGTTCATAACCTCCTGGGTAAGTTATAGGATCAATAAAAGGAGGCTGAGGGTAGATTTCCTCCTGTTTGTTGAAGTCTGCGTAGGCAAGCTCTTCACCATCCAGTCCATACATCTCCTCTCCATCAGAGTCTGAACAGCCAACGATAGCAATGTCCTCATGCAGAACTGAAATACATCAAACACTGATCAATAAGCTGCTGATTGTCTGTGAGAGTTTAAAGAGACAAACTCACCGTCAGCAGAGACACAGAGGACACAGGAGAGGAAGAGGAGCAGCTCCTTCATCTTCATCAGCAGCTCTCTGACAGTTAAACTCTAAGTGTGTGTGTGTGTGTGTGTGTGGACCTCACAGTGTGAGTGTGAGAGTCTGTGAGTGAACTGAAAGTGCAGCTGAGCTCTAACACACAGCAGCCAATCACAGAGCTCACAGCTCATGATGTCATCAGTGTCCAGGCAGACAGCAGCTGGAGGTGAACATGATCTGACACTGACAGCTCAACTCAATAATCAATATTTATTGACTCTTCAAAATAAAGTTCCTCTGATCAGTTTCCACTCTGAAGATTTTCAATATAAAAAAAAACTTTATTTTAATTAAATGATTCAGTTTGTTTAAAAACAATGTAAAATATGAATTTATTTTCTATTTAAATAGTTTCCAGTTGAAAACACACCTGAGTTCATGTGTGTTACTGTGACAGTGAGAGTCACAGCTGTGTTTGTCAGCAGGAAACGCTGTAAAACCTTTACAAAGATCCGTCCAGCAGGCCAGATTGAAGTCTTTGCCAGGCCTCTGCAATAACCTGATCAGCTTTCAGAGTGTGATTATTGATCAGAGGTTGAGGTTCAATAGTTAATGTTTCAGAGGAGCAGACGAGTTAAAGCTGAGGAGGAGGAGCTCTGATCATGTGACAAATACCAGAGTTTAAAGTGTTTCCTGTTTCTTCTGTTGTCTATCAGCCAGTCAGCTCTTTGCCTGTCACACATCTAAACTGTGCAGATCTGCCAGGTAAGTCATTCCGTCTGAAAGCATTGTGGGCCTTCTACATGACCATCTCTGATTCATAAAAATGTGATGGTTGTGTAAGATATATGTTTAAAGATAAGATGCTTATTTAAACATATAAGATATATATATTTACAATGTCCGTTGACCTCCAGTATGTTTATTGTTCACACACTGACTCCATATTTGAACATGAATATCTCTGAGAATATTAAAGATCAAAGATCAAAAAGATCAAACTTTTTTTCATCACTCTTAACATCTAAAAGAAACTGGATCTATAACATCAAACAATGATTATGGGCTAGTTACAATAAAAGAATCAAGTCTCTGTAGAGTCTCCTGTTTGAACACTCAAAGGAAGAAAAGGTCATTTTAATTCAGTTTTCATGCTGATCAAATATGACAGGCTGTTTCACAAAAAGTAATTCATCAGCAGATACTGTGATCCACAGAGAACAAAGACCTGCTGCTCGAATGGTAAAGCTGAGAAAAATATGTAGTTAAATTTGGGATTATTTTTCATCTTCAAGATCATTCCTTTACCTGCTGACCTGGAGGAGTCTGAATATCAACACTGAGTCTCAGCTATTCTGTCATCTGTCACAGATCCTGCTGGACGCTCACTGAGGGACGTGGTGCTCGGTTGGTGAATGTGGAGGTTTGATGGCACATGTAAGTGCTGTAAATCACATAAGATATGTTTGCAGACATCATGTGAGAAGCAGCTCTGTTAGTCTGCAAACTGTCCCTCTGTTAGAGTCCTCTGTGCTCCCACAGCAGGTTAAAGTTATCTATGAGACAGGGGCGATTTTAGCCAATTTTGGGGGGTGCTTAAGCACCCCCTAGCTAACTGACTGAATGCTCATTAACCTTAT